GCCGTGACCTATAGAGGAGACGTCTATTTCGTGCCCGTACTGTATCTGTTTTCATGATTACACTTGTTGGCATGCTATGAGTTTAATTAACGGTTTGTCATGAAATGTTTTGTTATTGAACTGAATCTGATTTTGCATTGACGGTTTGTCATTGAATGCTTTGCAATTGAACTGAATCTGATTCTGTTTTAACGAGTTATCATTGAAAGCTTTGTTATGCTTACATGGTTTATTTGGCATGCTTAAAAGTTTTACCCAAGGGCTATCCATATTTACTTACTGAGTTATCTCATAGTTTTTCTTGTCCACCATTTCAGGAAGCGAAACCGAGGACGGGGAAACCGAGGGAAGTGACGAGTTAGAAGGCTAGTCATTTCAAGATTGACATAGATTTGAGATATAGATCATGATATTGTAAGCTAGATTGTGATTGGAGATTTTATGATATCAGAGAAGTTTCAAAATTTGATCTTCAGATTTTTGTGGTATCAAATGTGAATCGGATAAGTTCCGAGCCTTGTGCATTTGTGGGATCCACTCACGAGTGCACGGCGTCTGTCGTGCCCCGAATTCGGGTTTTGAGGCGTGACAGATTTAGTGGTATCAGAGCTTAGGTTTGATTAAGATTTTGTGATGTCAGAGCCTAGGTTTAAATAAATACCTAGGATATGTTTTGAACTTGGCTAGTTAATGGATTTAGAATCGTGGCGAGACGAGTGATGGGGTTATACAAGGGACGATTCTGATTTGTGTTGCTTGAATTTTCTGTTCCGCTTTGATGTGATAGTGATTCAGTTAGTATCTATTATCTGTCGATAGTGAGAAGTTTTGAAATTAATCTTGCTCACTATGCTCTTAGGTCCTTGTTTGAAGCTTGGTCCTTTGTGATAATATGCTTGATACTGGTTGTGGTAGGATGTATAAGGCCTTCCACATTAGGTCTGTTTGTTTAAGTATTCATCTGGGCATTCATACATGAATGCAAACATGGACATACATGAGCATATACACGCATACATGCATGCACACATGGACATTCATACATGCATGCATAAAGGCATTCATTCATACATGCATATGCATGCATTCATCCATTCATGATCCCATATATCCGAGTGATGTTTATCCGTCTCGGATAGGGTTCCACTGTTTAATTGAATTCATCATTAGGCTCCCTGCCATGTGTTTGATGAGTGCCGAATCTTGATTTGAATCAAGGGCACCACATAATCACGCCGATAATCCTCGAGTTTAGATACTTATGTTGAGGCGTGAAGTTATCTCTCGCCTCCCAAATGACCATTGGAGAGGGTGGAGATTGAGATTGTTGTTGGCTTGTTAGGACGGTGATGAGTAGCCTGTCCCTGTAAAGTGAATCTAACTATTGTACCTTTGTGATTGTTAGCTGTGTATGTTAAGATTGATTTCCTTGTTATGGTTGTGGTGTGATATCAGAGTGGCGCAGCGGAAGCGTAGTGGGTCATGTTTTGACCATAGAAAGTCAGTGGGGCATTTGTTTTGTCTTGGGTTGTGTGAAACCATTCGCCAATCGAAACGATCCTCAATTTGAGTTTTGGGGACAACTCCTTTTTAGGAGGGGTGGATGTAATATCCCAAAATTTTGGGAATTTTATCAATTAAGTTGAGGACCTTTGTGTGAGAAAATGTTATTGAGGGGCTTAATAGTCAAATTTTTAAAATTTGGGGGACTAAAAAGAAAGAAAATTAGGATAAGGATCAAGCTTAGATATTTTTCTTTTCTTCTTCATTGCCCGCGTGTTTGCTCTGTTCTTCTTCTCGATTCTTCCTCCCAACAAGCCCCCCCCCCCAAGCCATCGACTTTCTTTCCCCCTTGAAAAGCCGATGAGATCTTGATGAAATTCCTTCCTTTTCTTGTTAAATCACAAGATTTAGGACCTAGAATCTTCCCTCTCAACCAAGAAAAATCCCGGTTCTGCTATGCTCTTCCCCTACAGCCGGCAAGAGTCCCAGCTACCGCCACCCATTTTCAGCCAGGAACACCGGCCAAGCTTGGGGATTTCTCCCTATTTTCTTGTTCTAGACACCTATTAAACCCAGAATTTTCCAGATCTGGTATGCTCTTCTTCCCCCGTCCGCGAGCTGCTCTTGTCGGTGGAGAGCTTCTCGATTTTTCGGGTAAGGAAACAACATGAACTTCACCTTTTCAGCCTTAATTTGGCTTGGGTGCACTTTAATCCCTTTTGGTTTCCTTCAATTTTTGGGTAGATCTCCGTGAGTTTCCCTGCAAATCCCGCCGGCCTCCTTCCCAAACTGCAGCTCCGGTTTCCTTGCTTGTAAATTCTGGTATGATAGCCACTCCTCAAAGTCTTAAATTACCCATTTAATTGCTGAGTTTTGTCCATTAGTTAATGCTCTGTGTTGTCCAAATCTGCTGGGATAGGGGATGAATTTGGCAGCCCTTTTAAATGTGTTTTGTGCTTGGTTTATGTAGGAATTTTGTTAATTGGGCTATTGTGATGT